CAGTTAAAATTCACTTCTTGGGTCAATTTCTTGGAGCTCGATTGACCACATGCTAACCTACAGGACCAGGCAAGACATTACATGTATTACTAGAGTTTGATATTAAGTATCAGTTCCAAAATTGCAGATATTCTTTCCGACCGCCATGAAGCTTATAATTTTGACCATAGGTATGTACTAGCCGTAGGTAGCATCACCATCTATCACCCATAAAAATTTACCAGCATATCAACTAGCCATATGTAGATACATGCGCACAATATGCACAAATATTAACCCCTATGGTTTTGTGGATTTGTGTACGGAAACGAGAATGAAAATAGCAAAAAAGAAACATCTATACCTATAACTAGAGGGGGAAACTATCTATATTACACTGCAGAGTATTTTGTATTTGCAGGACGAGTTAACCCGGGCCCATATTAAAGCCCAAGTCATCAATGATCTTCTGAGCCCATTTTGATGGATTTCTGGCACGTGACCTGACAACTCCTTAGCACCACGTACCTACAGTAACAAGACCAATTCCTTCTAAGCTAAGCCGGAAGGCGCTATAGCATTATGGTTGCGGACACCTGTAACCGGAGGACATTTGACCTCAACATTTGGGGGGTGATGACTTTCCAACCACCACACCTAAAATTATTTTCTCTGTTAAATGATGATTTAACCTCCGCTCTACATCATGACAGAGTCCGATTAATTTTATCGTTTATGATTGTGGAGTTATTGAATTTCTAAAAGTTGGGTTTTTGGTAAGAGACCAAATGAATGTCACCCAGAGTTGCCTATTCAGGCAATAGTTCTAGAGTGTTAGGCATTTTAATTACCCGATTAGGCAATTCTCGGACTACCTCGTAATATCATTGATAGGTCTTGGCACAAAAGAGCATATATTAGCAATAAAAGTGCCAAGTTATTACTTGATTGGGAAAGTGATAGCCAAAAAACACCAATGTCGCACCTACTCCGGATACAGGTGTCCGCAACCATACGACTAAATATTAGGCACTTGTCTCTACTCGTAGTTTTTTTGGCGTTTCCGGACTGGACTGAGTCTGCATATGGGCGTAAATCGTGCTTGACAACCACATTTTGGTGGTATACTCTAGACCCAGTCCAGTCCGGAAACGCCAAAAAACTACGAGTAACCATGCATGTAGTTCTAGCGAGACACATGATACTTTTGTGCCTACATCATGTAAAATACTCTACCGTCGCTGAGATTCAAATTGTCGTCTGCCTTCCTATTGAGGATGGTTATAAGCGACTTTAGGAACGATTGAAGAAAAAAGACAGTCTACCAATGCAATAGCTACCAATAAGCGATAAAAAACACCCGAGCGACTGAATTGCTTTTGCAAATAACATCAATTTCCCCCCTCCGCAATAATCTCCAATCAACTACTATTTAAACCGTGGAAAAAGAAATATGGGTGTAAAAGAAGGAAAAGCTATTATTCCACATGATTGTTCCCTTCAGATATCCAAAACCCTTTAGAGTCCTTCAATACAAATTTAACACCCTTGGGTATTCGTCGACTCTTCCGCGAAACATTATAACAATAGAGGATAAACTATCTTAACTTTGTGCCCTGCTTCCTGGAGGTAAGAAGAGTTCATTCTGTTTATAATAATCGTGAGGAGCACCGCCTGGAGCACCGCCTGGTCCACTAGATTGGGGGGGCGCCGGCGCGGGATGATTAGGAGCGGGTGGGTATTGCTGTTCTGTGTAGTAACTTTGTGGGGGTCTTCCGCCATTGGGTGCGTTATATGCTTGATAAGCTGAGCCACCTGCACCTGAAGGAGATGTCGATCCTAGAACTGGGTATGCATGAGGCCCGCTATTATTTGCCGCAGTGTCTGTATACACTGACGGGTTGGGTGGGTTATGTCCAGCTGACAAAGGGCGCTGTTGAGGGGGTGGATATGCTTGATATCCACCATATGGAGGTTGTCCAGGAGGTTGAGAGGGGGAGGGAACCCTCTCTTGACCACCAGGAGCACCCATAGACTGTGGATAGCTACTGTTCTGTGGTGGTCTACCATCAAGAGGTGAGTCATATATTGGCGTTGCAAGTTCTTGGGGCTGTATCTGTCCATCCACTGGATGTCCGCTTGGGCCGGGTGGTTGATGACCCTGGGGACGTTGATTAGGATCCTGTTGTCGGCCCGGAATTTGAGCACCAGGCGGTGCTTGACCAACTACATAAAATGGTGCGTTATTGCTATGTGGCGGTGGTGCTGATTCATGACCTTCAGGTGGGGCATAAAAGTGGTTGCTTGTCCGTCGACCTCCTGGGTAAGGAAGCCCTGATGCCTTTTGCTGTTGGGGAGGTGGAGAAAAAGCGCCATGTTGAATTGAGGGAGAAACGGAGGGGTTCATCTGTGGGGCTGGAGTATAAAACCGCTCTCCAGCAGGTGGGTATGGATCGCCTCCATAGTTATATGGTGGCTGACCGGGTCGGCCATAATGTGAGGCACCTTGGGACATAGAGGATTCGAGCAAATTTTCGTAATCACGTCGTGCTTTAATGAATTTTTCATTTAATGCGACAAAGTCATCTAATCGAGTGTTAGCAAATAATTGTGTATTTCGAATACAATAGGGCAGGTTACCTTTCTTCTGTGAGTACTTCCCAATTAGCTCAATCAACTTCGGGCGAATTGCCAGTGTTTGATGGTAGAGTGTCTAATTTCCGGTTAGCATAGGCAAAAGTCTCCTAACAATTTACTGTGAACATACAGTGATTTCCTCGTTTTCCTGCACGTTTGATTCAACGTTGGATGTGCTCAAAAGCGCCAAGAGCTTCTCCACATTTTTAATCTCTGCAAAGACCTCAGCTTCCATTTGCGCCTCCTTCATAACCTCCTCTTGAGTAGGGTCTGTCAGTTTCTCCACGTAATTCAATGGGAAAATTCCTGTCTGGCCTCTCAAGGATCCACTCCACCAATCCTTATACACTGACTCGAGCACTGCAATGATATCACCCTTCCTAAACGCAAGCTCTCCTTTTTCAGTCGGGACGAAATCGAAAAGTGCGCGAACCCTAGATACCGTCGCAGCTGTTGTGTGTGGTGTAGCTTCGGCCGTGCTTGCTGGGGCCTGTGATTGTTGGGCTGCTGGATTAGAGCCTGCGGATTGCTGCGGCGCCTTTGAGCTCGAGGATTGTCCAGCTTGTGGCCTATCTTTGAGGGATATTGCCAAGGCCATTTGAAGCTCTTCCTCCTCCTTCTGTCTATCAATATCTGTGATTTCTCTTTTGTGTGGCTTCGACGGTGCCTGTATGTTTGGATCTACCAGAGGTTAATAATTGGCACTTTTTTGTATAAATTCTTCACTGTCTTACTTTGGGATTTTAACTTGTTATAGGCGCCTTCCATTATACCAAGGTCTGGCTCCTTCGAGAACATCTCAGACCATTCGGCCATCCGTTCCAATATCTTAGCTTTCACAGTTGGGTGAGTGTTCTAGGGAAATTAGCTATCCCAATTCAAAATCAAACAGGAAGCTAGTAACAAACCCGATCGGCGGCAAGTCGTAGCATGGCATCTGTGAAAGATCTCGAAGCAAGCTCCCGATGCATCTTTGGGCCGCAGTTTTGTGAAAAAGCATTTGCAAGCTATAAATAAAAACAGCATTAATTCATTATTCTACGCGTTGAAGATTGACTTCGACCGTTTCAAGCTTGAAAACTCACTTCAAGGGTATAAAGTTGAACATTAGCGTTCCGATGAGCTAGCCGTTTAATCAATGCTGCGACAGCATTTTTAGGTCTTTACAGTAGGTGGGTAATTAGCTTCTGTTTGTATCACACACAAGCCGGATAATTCCAGCGCTGGCCCGTTGCGACAAAAGCTCACCCATTTTCTGGGGATTCATTAATCTTCTCCCACGCATCCATCATGTATTCCCAGTTCTCCGAGGTCAAGTTCTCGTCCGTCGCTTTCACTAAAAGGCGCAAGTGTTGAATCAGCGGTTAGTCCTGTTTATTCGAGGCCCCGGGGGAGCTTACCGATGACATCCTCAAACACATTCTGCTGCTGTCGAAACATGTTGTCCAGCGCAGCGTCAGAAACACCTCCCGAAGTAGACGTATTTGCGGTGATGACGAAAGTCGAAAGTTCGTATTTGATGTTTCGCAACAAGCAACAGCGGTTTCAGAATGATATGTTTAGTTAGCAGGTGCGCAGAGAAGAAATTAAAAAGAGGTATTTTCTATGTTGAAATACCGAGAAGATGGAGGAAAGAGAGGGGTGTGTGGGATGTCATACAAACGGCGACTAGGTAGGTTTATCGACATGCGTAATGCCCAGGCGCCTCTTGCTCTTGGTTGTGTGGCTGTGGAGGCAACGCAACATCCAGGCAGCCTACTAGCGGGGTTAGAAGATCTTGTTTTCACAGCTTCTCTTTGTGCATGCGGCGGCTCTGGCTCATCAGCAACGACGCTTGCACAGCTTTCAATGCAGGGTTACGCAAACACATTCACAACTAAAACGGTGAAACCGCCACGTTTCTATGTAAATATTTAAAGTAATTGAACAGACGAGTTAATCATTACTGTACCATTTTCGGGAAGCCCTCCCGCTATCGCCTTTTTTTTGGTCAATTAAAAGTTGAACCTTCACAAACATTTCCGTTCCAAAACCCTGAACAAACCCCACAGACAGAAAAAAAAGAAGAAAAAGAAGAAAAAGACTAAACTCATCATGAGGGGAATACAGCAGAGAAAACTCGTGGCCGTCAGTCAAAAGTAGTAAATCCACCTAGACAAAACCTTTCACTCCTTCTCTCCAAGTAAATAAGGAAAAACAGTTCCGTGCCTAAACCAAATCGGAAAAATACATTATCCCATCCCACAAGTTTCTATAAAATCAAACCCGCTTTAAATGCATCGTGACACTCGTCGTATTGACCCCTCGTTTGCCCATCCCACTATTTTCGCGTTACACCTCCGGTTATTGTGGGTACTTGAGACAGCTTCTGTACAACTTTATCATCACCTTTGTCGTTCCTGAGCTCTAGCTTTCCGTGCCTCTTTTACCAGAGGTGCCAAGCTAGATAGAGGATCCGCGGTTTGAAGGAACACATGCTATATATAATTAGTATGTTTGTATTATTAAATAAGCCTTTTGCAATCATACCTGAAGCAATTCACCCGCTGACAGTCTCTTATCCGGACTAACTTCTAAGGCTTTGTTTAAGAAGTCTTTGAGTTGTACAGACAATTGGTCTGGTTCCTTCAGATGTGGTGTCCCATTCGTCGCGATCAAATATAGAGCACGAAGCGGCGATTCTGTTAGGTAAGGTGGCTCTCCTTCAATCATCTCTATCGCCATAATTCCTAAACTCCAAATGTCGACCTTTCGCCCATATTCTTTCCTAGTCACAACTTCAGGTGCCATCCAATATGGTGTCCCTACCATGGTGGTTCTTTTCATCATGGCCTCGTTTATTTGCGCGCAAAACCCGAAATCGGCTGTTTACGGTTAGTTTTACTATCTGGGACATATCTTATAGTTTGCAAAACTTACTCAGTTTGATGTGACCTTCAAGTGATAATAGAATATTGTCGGACTTGATGTCTCTATGGATGACACCCTTGGAATGCAAATGTTGTAAGCCTTGAAGAGTCTATAGATTGGCAATTAGCATTCAATGCGAGTTTAGTCCTTTTACAATAGTATGACAAACCTCTCTGCAGACAGCTGCAATTTGGCCCTCGGACATAATGTTGAAAGTAACGACATCTGTCAAGCTTCCTCCCTCCATATATTCCATCACAACCCACAAGTCTCCTTTATGAAGGAAGCTATCCATGAAGTTTACAATGTTCTTATGTTTGCTATCCTTCATGACTAGAATTTCGTTGATAATCAGATCCTTTTTAGGTTGCTGTTCCAGATTCATTTGTTTGATAGCCACAGAGCGATTTGACCCGACTTGGTAAGCTGTATACACGCCGCCAGAAGCTCCCTGGCCAATTTTGTTCAGGCTGCGATAAAGCTTTGTGGGATCGGCGTTTGTACAAATAGCGTTTAAACGGGTCACGATATCGATGCTACTGCTAGGCTGCTTCCTGTTGTGACGTCGCTGTACCGGAACTGGTCCCACATTTCCTCCTTGAGTTTGGTGCTGGTTCTGGGAGTGACTATGGCTAAGCTTTTGCTGGGTTGAAGGCGCACGTTGGAGATGTTGAGATTCAACGTATTCCGCATGGGGTGATCCATGTGGCTGAGACGGATGGTGTTGCTGGAAATGGGCTTGTGTGAAAACAGGCGACTTTGTTGTTTTTGCTGTGGCATAAGCACTACTTGATTGATGTCTGAATGGATCTACATTTCTGGGGGGTGATTCATCCCTGGGAATCCGACTTTGATGTATTATGGGAGAGTTAGAGCTTGGCGCAGATATAAAGTCATATTCATCGTGAGGTTGGTATGTGTCCTGTTGCAATTGCTCAACTGGTGATTGCACATAAGTGATTTGTTGGAGCTGTTGAGGCGTCGGTGCCGGTGTTACTGGTGGCCTTGACTGTAAGCTATAGTGACCTACTTTACTAACTTCCCGAGGTGGGGAAGCAGGAGGTCGAGGCGCTGGACGATTGGGAACAATCGAGTTTGTTTCTCGTGGAAGCACGGGCGACATAGGCCCCGGGCCCCGAGATTTACTAGGGACTGGAGGGGGTGCTCGAGGGTTTTCAAAGCTGAACTCATGGTTCGAAGGAAATCGAGGACTTATAGGAGGACTCATCAAGGGTGGGCTGACCATCGTTGGGGTTTGCGCAGGGGTCGGGGATCCAACATGCGGAGGAAGCTGCTGCTGCTGCTGTTGCTGTAGCTGTAGCTGCTGTAGTTGTTGCTGCTGCAGCTGCTGCTGCTGTAGCATCTCATTTTCCAGCTGTTGAGGAATCTTCTTCCAAACTCCATCATCACCTTTACCGCCCCTGACATCGCTGTAGAATGCGACAATATCCATAACAGCCTGGGGGTTCTGCTCTTGCTCCTTTTTCGTTATTCCGCTTTCCTGTAATAATCGCTGCCATTCTTTGGGTAATCCCTGTACAAATAGGAAGCTGTGAGTCCGGTATCCATATATACCAACAGAGGTAAAGGGCAAGATGGGAGACTAATGGTTTGCATACGGTAAACTCTCCCGTGACGAAATTGAACCCCACGTGGGTGACATGAACTGGATTTGTGGGGTGTGAGATTTCTACTCTCTTCGACCCAAGCATACTGTTCATGAACTTTGAAAACCCTAGCTTTGTTTTCGCACTCGGTAGTGGCTTCACCTCATCCGAATTCCTCTTGGGGCTCATTGTGCCTGAGCTGGTGTAAGCTTTCGGTGGGCTTGGCGGACCGCCTTTCTCACCCATGGTAAAGCTGGTTGACTGCCGTAGCTGAGGCCGTGATGTAGTTGTGGTCATTTCTGTGTTGGCATGCAAAAGCGGAGGTGGTGCAGGCGCTCGTTGTATGGTGTTCCGTTTGTTTGACTCTAGGGACGAACCTCCAGATGTTGATTCTTCGGACAGTCTTCCAGATACTGGGCGCGAGCCTATCCCAAAAGAACTAAAGTACTGAGTCGGCGTGTCGCTTAGATGTCGAAACCCTTCTTGTTGAAGTAGAGGGGAGGAGTTTTGGGTTTGCTCTAGAGAGGAGTTGGAAGAGGAGAAGGCTTGAGGGTTGGGAGAGGTGGGTGTCCGGTGATGTGATTTTCCATGTGTAGATCTAGGGAATATTGGTGCGGACGGGGTCCTCTGGATCGAGCCCGAGGACCAAGACCTCACGGAGGAACTCCCTTGTGATACAGATTGCGGCAACGTTCCAGTTTTGACGGGAGGGTTTTTCGTGAGACGTCGACCGTGAGGTTTGTCCCCCGACGAGTGGGATGAGGCGCTTGCCGAGTGCATGGCTAGTTCGAATTACAGGGCCAACGAGAGCTCAGAACAACCCCAGTGGATGGTATTACGGGGTTTTTCTTGACTGATAGACCTAGCTAGATGCTTGTATGAATTATGTGAGGGGATTTGGAGGGGGGGGTTTGCAACGGAATAAATTGCGAGTGGGCAAGCAAAGAGAAGTGAGTGAGCGAGGGTCCGGGAGGGGAGAGCCTTGGGCAACAAACAGCAACAGGGTGCGCTGGAGGAGAGCCCGTATGTATGTAATAGGTAGATGGCAATGTATGTATGGATATGGCTAGGTGAGCATATGTAGTAGCATGTAGTTGGATGGTGTTGTAGTGGTGGGGGTGGGAAGCAGTAAGTAAGAGAATTGAATATGGGAATTGATTGATTTCTTGACTTGGAGGGCGGATTATTCACTGAGACCCTTAAAGTTGGACTTGGGATTAGGAGTTTCCTTCAACTCTTGGGTGCGAGTTTTGGCTGAACTGGGATCAATGCGATCGAGAAATTGGAGGATCGCGGCTTCTCTCTTCTCGCGACAGAGTCGGACAAATTTTTGTTTTGGCGGACTGTTTGGGAGATAAAGGATCTATGAAATACGACTGCCGAATCCCTTAATTCCTTTCTTATTTCTACTTCTTATTTCTGACTTCTCATTTCCTAATAATAAATTGTAGATACATGTAGAGCACTCGATCTGGATAACGTTGTTTTTAATTACTATTTATTATGTGTTCCCTCGACCCTTACTCCACCACACACTCTCTCAATCCCTCCCTCCTTCCCTCATTCCCCTCTTCTCGCTCAGTATCTGCTCTCTCAATCCTTTCCTGGTCGTTGTCCAGACCCTTCACAGCTTACTTGACCTATTGCAGTACAAACAACAAGACTTTGACAAGTCAGTGTCGCATGTAGGACGAGTTCGATACTCTGAAACCTAGCTAAAATCAAGCGCATGTATGTACAGAAGCTCTTTATAGGTAATGTAATCTCGCCATGGCATAATTGCAGATGAAAAATGTGTTCTCAGTGTCAATTCAACGTGTGCGGTCAATCCTGGGCTGGATTATTCTATTAAATGCCGTGATGTGTTTGTTCAGAAATAATCGTCGCTGCAGGACAATGGGAAAGGCAGGGGACTGCAGACGGAAAGAAGGCCCAGAGCTTGAAGACCACCGCGAAGGGGTAGAGAGAGCTTTACTATCGAGTTGAAACAAACGGGAAGACGGACGACAAAAACCTGCAAAACTCCGTTTTGCACTTTTCGCGGGTTACATACATAAGATCCACAAAGTTCTCCCTCTCTCTCTCATCCTTCTTTTTCCTATTCTTTCCTCCTTCATCGCGGATTGAATTCTAGCAACTGGAAGCCACCAAGTAACTACCAATTGACCTTCCTGTTGCGTGTTATATTGGAGTAAGTAACTGCACCGAGAGTTCTGCTTACTACCTGCCACCACTGCTGCTACTTACCATTCTGGAGAAAGTGCCGAAATATCAATGGCATTTTGTTCAACAACTCCTTCTTTCGTTTTTACAGTCTTATGCCTTGTTTGCTATGTGGCGCAACATTATCTGATAGGGGACGTGAAGCACGCTGTCGCTGTCGTCCCAAGCACACGTGGGCGACATGATTGAGAGCTGAACGAACGGAACACCTTTAAAACTTGAGAGACATCCTTTGACCAGCAAACACGCCAAGTCTATCACAGCATAGGTAAACCCTACATGTAGGTACTTGTAGGGATACAAACTTAGAACAGCAGAACAACCGAACATTCTTTGGAATATCCCGGTTGTCTGGGATGGGGAGCAAAGCGTTCCAACTTCCAACCTTCTAGCATGCCAAAACCCATGTCGCTACATGGGTGTATATTCTCTGCTCTACCTTCTACCCCCATTTTAAAGCATCCGTGCCTACATATCCGGATTATCGGTTTTCATAGGCAGTGAGCAGTCGAGAGGTGGTAGGGCTACAATTATAGACACCCCCCCTCACATCACCATAATAACCATCCATCACACTGAAAAGGATGGATGAGGAGGAGGAGGAGGGAGAGGAGGAGAGCCCCGCACCTGACCCTTCATTTCGTTTATCGGGGCTGCCTCGCTCTTTATCGACGTCGCCCGCCTTCGCTTGACGCCGGTCTTGTGCAATGAGCTTATTCCTGCTTGTGACCATGCTGGGCTTCTTTTACTGGCGGGGAGAGGCAGTGGTGACCGACCACGCAAATTGTCTGTCCCGCGGTGGAAAGGGAACCTTGTGTGTGCAGTGTGCAGTTTTCAGTTGTGCAGTTACGGTTACGTGACAGCGCGTACCGATACTGTCCGTGTATGTGGCTAATACCCGTAGTGATGGTAATAGGACGCGCCGGACACGCGTCGTTCCTTCGAAAATCCTTCCTTATTCAACTGCCCTTCACCGATTTGAATCGATGACAGCTGAGCCCTCCCACTATCCCACTATCGCTGAAGTCTCCGATAAATTCCGTCCAGCGGCCCGTTATATCGAAAGTGGAGCTGGAACACCATATTGTGTGTTCCCGGGGACATCCCCGAATCCTATTTATTCTCTCTTGGCAACATGCACATGTATTAACGTCACGTCACGCTTCTACTCTCTCTAAGCTACGGAAAGATATATATATATATTTACTCTAGCAACTTCTATAGATCTAAGACGCAGCGTACAAGTTGACCGACTGACCGATAATGTGGTTCCTGTTGCAGCTCTTGGAATCGTGGTTTTACAAGCTTGGGGCTCCAAATTCAAATCACAGAATATCACTCGAACACAAACAGATCGCCAACTAAAGCAATACAAACATTCACTTCATTCTGGGTTATGATAGGGTTCCTCTGGGGAAGGAGTGTTCAAGCGATGTGTCTAAAGTGTGTGCACGAACCCTGTCCGTTTGTTGGATTGTCAAGATTTTGCTGGTTCTAACACCCACTGCCAGTCTCTTCCAGATGCCACAATCATCATTGCAGGGATAAACGAACACAGTGGATACCTGATTTATTACCAAGATTAATGAAAAGGGCAACTCATAACCTTAAAAACCTTTTCTAAAGGCATCAAGTGCCATCGGGTTACCTAGATCGGCTCTTGGTGCTGTGTAAAGTGCCTCGGACCTCGACTATATAGCTAAAAGTACGGAATATATTTCCGACATACGCTCTGTGCATTTTATCAAGTTTTTTTCGTCGTCAAAATCCTCGTACTGATCGCACACCAAACAACCCCTGTGTATTCCTACGCCACGGCCAGACTCGGTCTTGGCAAGGTGGGGGAGGCTGAATTTTGCGGTTGGTGGGGTTTCTCGATACGGGCTTTTTGGTTCTTAGACATCAAAGGATGCCTGAACACATACATTGGCGAAACAAGAAAGCCCTGGGTGTGGGGTACTGTGGGTAGTAAACACCAGAGCGTCCAATGACTGCTTTGGTTTTGTTACTGGCACGAAAAACGTAGCGAGTCACCACGATGGAGGATGCGGGCCACTATCTGTTTTTTATGTTGGTTTTATGTCTTCACCATAATGAATGTGTGTGGGCAAGTATCTTAACAGGCAAATTCTTGCCGATTTAAAACAAGGAGAGAGTTCCTTATACCTCACTGAACAGTTTAAAGTAAGGGTTATAAACCAACAGGTAGGTCTTAGGGTGATATTTTTGTCTTGAATTGTGGTGGCTAATAATTGGGCTAGTAGTTACAGAGTCCAGGAGTTTTCTCCCTATACAGGTCTTCTCTGAGCTTCTTCTTTCGTACATCAATATATTGATATGGAAGCTTGGTTGTTTCATGAATTATTGGCCACACACTAATTCGCCAATCAATACGACACTAGTAGCGGGGATAAATACACCCAGCCGCGAACCAGCTATTAGTATCATGTCTGGAAACAGAGATATCTTTGCTACACCCCATCCTCGTGTTGTAAATCATTGAGAGGGACACTTATAATACCCTCGTCTACAAATGTTTGCGAACAGGCTAAAGCCATTCTCGGCCAAAAGATTCCAAGGCTTGATAATTCATTTATTATTTCAAACTGGAGGCTATGACAAGATTCCGAGTCTTAACTAGAAACGAAAGTCGTCACATCAGAATCGTTCTATGAGAGAAAGTCGACAATATGTCATGAATTGCAGCGCTGATATAATACGTTACGCTTTCCGGCCCCGCATCATGGTGGATATTGGCCCTTTAGATAACAGCTGAAACACGAATCCAAGCATCCTTATCAAATGGATTTTATATATTCAAATAAGGTAGTCCTCCACCTATCCATACGGTCCTTTCGTGGACGTGTAGTCTATCAATGGACTTCATCTGTACCGAGAAGAAAATTACGGAGACTCTTAGTGTAATCATACGCCCATAATTAAAAGACTACAATGTGTGAATGTATTTAATAGAAACCCTCTGCGAGCTATGCTAGCCTGTGTATCAATCAATGATATCCCCATACATAAGTGTCGTCCAACAAATCATGCATCGTATACCCAATGGTGTACCTGTAGTAGCCAGATTTTGTTCAAAACCCAACTCGACACAAATTTTTTGTTTGCTCGACCTTTTCACTTTGAATCGCTCAGTGGTAGTGGAGAAACACGCTAGAATCCGCGACGGACCGGACCGCCAGTGGAAGCTTTGCCTGGCACGGTAAAGCTCTATGACGGATAGATACAGGGTTAGGTGAACCCTTTTTTTTCCTCCACATGACGCTCTACCCTTCTAGGCAAAGCTAAGTCAAGTATCTGATACTTGCATGTGTGTGGATATTTGTATGTATGTACTCCACAGTGTATGTGTTTTTATATATGTTTCACGGTTTCGATTAGAGTTTTCCCCTCATATGAGAGTTTGCCTCGGAGTCCCTGTGCATGTGTGAAACAAGCGAGCATCATCCGACATCTACACACTCTAGCTACGGGGATTCTGTTCCTCCGCGTTAAACTAGGCTTCGAGCGACTCGACTATTATTAATGGCTAGTGTCTGGACCGCACTTGGTGCCGGCCCCCGGGGGGGGGGGGGGGGGGTGCGGCGTTCAATGATCTCAGGCAAGGATCCCATCCATTACCTAAAAGCCGCTCCCCTTGAAACACTTTTCTTCAAATACCAGATGAAGCTTCCAGGAGCTTCGAGAAAACACTAAAAATAGGCGTTTGTGCAACGAGGAAGGGATGAGGAGATGGAAAAAAAAAACACTCAACGGCGTCTTCGGGGAGCTAGTCGATGGCGCACCTCGCGTGAAGGTCTCCGATGTGATGGAGAACATCTCTCTCTCCACCAGGGAAGTATTGTATGTTGAATGTAGGCTTTGCGCGCACCACTCGCTTTTCCTTCCCTCATTGACCAGACCAGGGGCTTGGCCATCACATCGAATCACTCGACCAGATCTTTGGGGATCGGGCCTGACCTGGCTGCACAAAACGCACTTACCGAAGGGAGATCCCCACAATGAGACACTTTGAAATAAGCCTTTTTCCTGTCCTTCCGCTTCCTCCCCCACCCCGCAAACCACTTTCCTCACACGTGCGCATCCACGTGACCTCTAATCCCCAGGGCCCAAACACGTCAGGGGGGGGGGGGGAGAGTCTCGGTCTCGGTGTGGCGAAACTTGGCGCCCTAGCGCCCAACAGCCACACTGCTCATCATCCATCTCACTCTCTCTCTTGCTCCGATCCAACGACCCAACGTCAGCTTTTTCCTTGATTCTCAATCTCCCCACTCACTCCTAGCTCTTCCCTCCCTTCCTCCCCCGCCACGGAAAAAAAAAAACCACAAACAACAACAATCATGTCTGAAGCTTACGAACGAGAAAGGTTGCTCCCCCAGTTTCTAATTCTGTGTAGTGTAGATGCCGTCGGCTAACCTACACAACAACCCAACAAAAAAGGCAAAACAACGCCCGCCTGGACGAGCTAGCCTCCAAAGTAACCTCCCTGCGCGACGTCACAATAAACATCTACGACAACGCCCGCGACCAGCACATCATCGATGACTCTGTACGCCCTTCCTCCCTCCCACCCTCCCTCCCTCCCTCCCTCCCTTGCCGCCCTTCCTTCCTTCCTATCCTCCGGTAAACCGAATAAGACTAACGGGGGGCGGATGGGGGTGCTATAGAGCGATCTATTCGACAACTTCAGCTCCAGCCTGAAGCAGTCGACAGCGCGCATCACGCGCATGGCCTCCAGCGGGACAAAGTCGCAGACGCTGAAGATGGCGGCGGTCGCCACGGGGACGGTGGTCATGTTGTATTTGGTGTGGGGCTGGTTCTTCTGAACGGAGCGCAATGTTGGGTGGGGGAAGTGAATAGAGTGGGGAAGCTTGAAGGGATAGATAGCTAGCTACTATGATGTAGTGATGGGCATAAAGATAAAGAGTCCATAAGGGGGGCTTCGGGGCTCGGCCGGGGGGAGAGAGGGGTACTATGCGCGGCCGCTAGCTAGCTGGGGATCTTGTGGCAGGGGTAATCTCGGGTGTCTTGAGAAAGGCTCGTGAGCAGATCCTCCCGGCCTCTAAATTGGTTGGGTGATAATGTGTGTAGCTGCACATTAGGTGTGTTTTTAAATTTCGGAGTCCGTCAGTTTTTAGTTTTTTTTTTTCTTTTCTGTTCGGTCATAATAAAGTATATTTTATGTATTTGTCTCCGTTTCTTTCTCACTCGCTCTCAATTTCACACCATCTGTCACTCGGCTTTTAAAGTGTGGCTGAGGCAGTTTTACCACTTTACTTTTTCCAGAGCAAAACCTTATTAAAGCTTGCCCCCTTTGAAACGTATATTTATGGGTTTCACTTCTGGATATTTATCATCGACCCGCTTCAGCAAAAAACGAACTATGCCTCAGTTGCTTTTTGTTCTAGATATCACAACTTCACACTACGCTCCACACGCATTTCCAATTGGAAAAAGAAGAACCCCACATTATACACAACCTCCAAGTCCCGCTTACCTCTGCGCACCCCTTCCACCACCAATATCTACCCCAATTCATTAGCACCATCCTCTTACATAAAGAGCTTATATAAGAAGACATACCTTGTCCCAACCTGTAGCTGCCAATCTTGTCCCAATCAATCTTCTGCCTCGTGATGGGCAGCTGCCTCCTCAGACTCTTAAACGCGCCCTCACTCAGCGCGCCAAACGCGCGGTTCAGATCCTCCTGGTACTTCTTCTCAATCCCCGCAATCGCCTTGACGATCTCGGCGGCGGACCCGGAGCTCAGCGAGACCTGCACGGGCTTGTTGGTGAGCAGACGCACGTTGCCGTCCTCGTAGTAGTGCACGTCGACCTGTATATGCCCGGTGAGCTCGCTGGTGGACGGGTTGAAAGTGTAGGTGGAGCGCCAGCGGCCGTTCCAGTAGTTCGAGGGGCTGTACTTGTTGCCGACGAAGACGACGGTGACGGTGGAGTCTTCCGAGCCGGGGTAGACGCCGAAGGCGGGGAGGGAGGGGTAGTGTTCTTTGACGTGAGGCTCGACCTCGCGGAGGATGGACTTTCTATGGGGGTGTGTTAGCCTTTCCTCTTCCCGGTTGTTTCTTGTGGTCGAGGGAGTATTGGTGATGGTCGGGGTGGTGGGGGAGAAGGGGGGCTCTACATCAAATCGGCGTTCAGGGACTCCAGAACATAAGACTGCACATTCGAAGCTTTCTACACCCACGCCCATCCATCCATTAGCATCCCTCCTCTCGTCCCCCGGGGGGGAAAGCATATCCATACCTGCTTCGTATGGTCAAACTCAAACGAGCTCTGGCTGCCAACATCGAAATACCGGCCGTCCGGCAGCTCATTGTACTCGCTGACGATAACCTGCAACCCAACACCCCCCACTCACTCATCAGCTTCCATTCACAACCCACACACAATCCGATCCAATCTGTTCAAGGTAGAAGTGCTAACCTGCTGGCTACCACCCGGCAGCTTCGTGCACAGCAGCTGCTCCTTATTGTAGCGCTCCACGGCCGGCGGGATGGCGTCGAGCACGTCCTTGTCGTCGCCGACGAGGGCTTTGATGTCTGTTGCTGGTTAGTTTTCCGTTCTCCACAGAGAGGGGGGGTGCTTTTGGGGGGGTACCGGTGATTACGTCTTGGAGCTAGAGATGGGGATGGGGTTAGCTATCTATCTATCTGTACAAGATGGGATGAGGAGGGGGGGACACACCTCGCCGGGGGGAGCATCGAGGATGAAGTTCGAGGTAGTCTCAATTGTCTCTGCGTCTGGCATTGTTGATGGAGTGCTTTTTGTGTGGGGGTGTAGTGTAGTGGGTGGGGATGATGGCGGGGATGGGATAGGATAGGATAGGATAGGATAGGGGGGAGCTGTGGTGGTTTGTGAGGGGGGTGAGCGAGTAGAGAGGTAACTGTGAGTGGGAGAGAGCCCCACTATGCATGGTTGCTTGGCAACAACACAGCAGCAGCAGGGGTGTTTGGGAGAGCTCTGGAGTGAGGTAAGGTAGCGAAGTAATGATAATAATACAGATTTTTATGTTTATGTGAGGTCCCCATGCTAACACCCAGATGCGCCCATAGTAATAGTTTTACAATCGGATGCAAGCAAGCAAAAAGAATAAAAGTAAAAAACAAAAAGGAAAAGGAACAAAAAAAAAAAAAAACTCCTCCCCGTATTAGTATCATATATAGATAGGCCCAAAGCAAGCTCCAAACACCCCCCAGCGCCTTCTCCAGCAACACAACTCGGCCCGCAATACCAATATAGCACCGTGCCCGGAGACTCGGGACGAGGTCGATGCTGACCGTCATGCCACTGCCACCAACATCTATGTCCCCCTACTGCGTCTCACTCTCAAAACTCAAATCGCCATATCCATAACTCGAAAACTGCGACAGCGGCGGCGGCATCGGGAACGTCTCCATCAACTCACTCGGCAACAGCTGGCTCGTCGCAATCGTAACATCCTCGTCGTCGTCCGGTATGTGGAACTTGAACTCCCCCCTCCTCCCCCCCTTCTTTGTCTCGATCTGCGTCGGCGTAGCCGGCACCTCCTCCGATCCGGGAAGCACCTGCGACGACTCGCCGTCATCAGGCCCTGGGAGGGATTGAGAAGGCTCCTTATCATCTTCCTCGCCATCATCCTCCTCTTCAACATCAACATCCTCCTTCATAGGGCTCTTAGGCAGCTGCACGATCTCCGGCGCCACCCACTGCGACGTGTCTCCCAACGCCGCCGTAGAATACTTCCTCCGCACCGCCTCGGGCGCCCACTGCGAGCCCAGCAGCAGCTCGTTCTGCTGTGGGAGCTGGGTGTAGGTGGCATTGGTCTGCCAGAAGCTTGACGGCAGCTGCTGCGTGTGGTAGGGCTTGTAGTGTGGTGCGTCTTCGTCTTCTTCGGGGTCCTCCTCGCTGGCGGTGTCGTCGACTGCGTCTGGGAGTGGTATTGGTTGTTCGGCGGGTGCGTTGCCCTCGGGGGTGTCGTCGCGGAAGGGGTGCGGCGGGGGATAGGTCATGCTGTGGAAGGAGCCCTGGGACTCGTCTTGCCCGGCGGCGGCGCGGGTAGGGTCTTGTGATTCGGGGGCCTCGAAGTCTTCAGGCTCGGGCTCGTTGTAGGTGAGGTCTACACGGAAGGTCTCGGTCTCTGGCTCATGCTCCTGCTCCTGCGCGTGCCGGATTGCGGGCTTCTGCGACTCGGGGAGGAGCACGGTGGCGATGCTGTCCTGCGTCTCGGTGTCGGTGCCGGCCCGGCTCTGGGTCTGTGTCTGTGTGGCCTGCGTGGACAGCGGGGCGTCCTCTTCGACCTCCCACCATTGGCTGCTGTTGACAAATTTGTCCCTGTTGGCCGGTGCCGGTGCTTCTGCGCCTGTGCTGGTAGTTATAGCTTCCGGGGGTGGCTCCTTCGCGGGTTCCGGGGGCCTTGCAGTATCCTCCTCCTCCTCCCGCGCCCGCTTCGGTCCCGTCGCAAACAACCTTCTCCCCGTCCTCTTCCACATCTGACTACACCCCCCTTCCTCCGCCGCCCCTGTATCCACCCCCTTCTCCACCTGCCCCCCCATCGGCGACCTCCCCAGCCTCCCCGTCGGCGAAAACAGCACCTGCATCCCCGGCTGGTGCTGGCTCGGCTGGTATGGCGAAAACGGCGTCACCGGCGGCGACTTCGAGTCCGGGATCTCCAGCACCTTCCGCCGCTTCGGCGTGACGGGAGGGGGCGGCATCGCAGCCCGCGAGCTTACTGATGCCTGGCTCCCTGCCGCACCCGCCCCTACCACGTCCTCGTCGTCGTCGTCGTCGGGGAGGGGTGGCGGCGAGGACAGCGGGCTGGAGTATGCATCGTCGTTGTTGTTGTTGGTGTGATCAAATTCCGGCGACTGCGTGCTCTGGTCGAACTGCGTCTCCGGCACCTCGACCTCCTCCCGCGGGAGTCGCTTCCGGCGCTTCGCCCGGTGCTGCGGCGGCGGTTGGGGGGTGTCGGTGGCGGGGGTGTCTTTTGCGAAGCCGAACGAGGCGAGGCCGGCCTGGCGGAGCTGCTGCTCGGTGGTGGTGGAGGTGGAGGGCGTGCGGGTCTTGTGGCGGCGCACGGATTTGAGGCCTGTGGAGGCGCTGGCGAGGCGGGTCTGGGCGAGGGATTGGCGGTGGCGGTGGTGGCGGGCGCTGGCGGGGACGGGCACGGGTTTGGGCGTCTTGGTCATGGCTGGCGGGGGAGGGGGTGCCGGGGGTGCATGAACGGTGGTGAGAGTGCAGATGCGGGTGCGGGTGCGGGTGCGGGTGCGGGAGAGAGGGGAGAGAGACAGGGGAGAGGCGGTGGCTGTTGGCTGTTGGCTGATCGATCGCTCTCTCGCTCTCTAGCTGCCGCAGCAGAGATCGGTGGTGCTGGGAAGACGCGTCAAGTCAATCCACCCGCCGCAACCAACAGCCCCGGCCCATGCATGCAGCCCCGGCCGTATGTAGGGTTTCAGAGCAAAACACATTCCCTCCTTGAACCAGCCGCAGACCGCGCCCAACCAGTCCTCTACTCTACCAATTGGCCCTGAAGACAGTAGTGGGCGAGGCGCTGCATACATGTTGGAGAAACAGAAATAGACATTGAATCAAAACCGGGGATCACACTGAGTCTCTGTGCGTTCTGTGGAGACACCTCTCCGTCCCTCCCGCCTGACCCGCTGTATGTATGGAGGTAGAGTAACGAGCCCGCACGGGCTACTCACGGCCCACGAATGACAATCCCCGGGTGGAACCAAGGGGGGGGGGGGTGTTTGAAATCGGGCTACAGGAGGGTGTGTGCTTGGATCGGTGGGCCATGACCGGGTATCTGGATTCCAAGGCAAGGCGTGTGCGGGACGTGGTACAGCATGTTGGTATGTTGGGGCGAGTGATAAACTGTGATGGATCTTTGTGGGGATCGATTAGTATCGGAGGTTGTTTTGGGACCTTGGGAACTTTGGGGGTTGGTTGGAGATGGTTGGGACGGCTTGGCGGTGAGAGAGGGGGGGGGGGGTGTTCGTGTGTTTTGATCGATTGATCGATCATTTCCTGAGATGAGCTTGGGTGGGTGGAGTCCATCAGCAGTGGATAGCCTTTTTGGCAATAGATAAAAAAAAAAAAAAAAGTAACCACTACTCCCACTCCGATGTTTATCTCAACAACTACATCATATTCTTAGTACATTACCCACTAGAGTAGGCAGACCGCTCGCCCATGTTCTGTAATGTTTGTAAATAGTGCAAGTACACGCTTACCAGCATAAGAACCAGAAAATGCAGTTGCTCGGGGCAAGGATAATTTGTATGGAGTGGCGCCGTTCTCTCATACAAATAATCCCTGTTTCCGTTACTTTCATTTTCTGGTTCTATTGCTGGTAAGCGTGTACATACACCATAAATGCGTGCAAATAGGCATTATTATTAGATAAGATCATATAATAAATGCAGTATACCCCGATAACACCGGCGCCAAGAGTCCAAAAAAGTACCCTTTCAATCATTGACCCTGACCCCCAACCAAATAATTATATATCGAATAGTAGAATATTTGTACCTGATGTCATTATATAACCCCAACCCTAATTATAGGGGGTATTGAGTAAAAAAAAAGGACTGTAAAATTTTAAATGAAAGAGTGAGTCATGGAAGTAAGTGCACGTTAGTAGCCGGCCTCTTGCTTCGGGGTGGTTCTTTTTTCTTTTTTTTTTTTTGTTTAATTCATTAATTGCATGCAACCTTACAGTTGTGGCAATCTTCTGGGTGGTTCCATGACACCAAGCTTAAGTTAAACGACAACCCATGGCAATGTGGGGGTCTTTCCACGAGAACGACGAAATGCAAGATTTCACATGACGATTATTTTATTTCTTTTTTTTGTGAGTGGGGGTAATCTCGCGTTGTAGCAAGCATAGCCTCTTTGAATCACAGAATATCACTCATCTCTCGATACCTTTAATTCGAGGTTTTTATGCATTGATTGATTGACTCATTAATGCAGCCATACATTACAGTCAACTCTCACGACACATGCATTCTCAGATACCCAACTTCTTACCATCAAAATCTAAAAAACACACAACCCCCACCACCCGCTCAAAAAAAAAAGGTCTAGTCAATATAATGCCCCACAAACCCACACGCCGCCACCAGCATCGCGCAACAAAACAGCAACAGACTCTCCCTCTCCACCCTCCCCACCACCCCCAACGCCGCCACCACCACCACATTCAGCGGAATCCGCAGCACGCCATACACCGCCGCCCGGTGCCCGTCCTCAATAATGCGCCCCTTCAGCACGCCCATCGCCGGGAAATACATGCCCACGCACGCCTCAAACACGCAGAACCCGTAGAAGACCGCATACTCGTTCTGTGCATACACCGCCGTGTACAGCGCCACCGCGGCGGCGGCAAACACCCACACGAGCAGCCGCGAGTGCCGGATCACCTTTCCGGCTACCAGGTTGAACAGGTACGAGCCGAGCATCATGGACGCCATGAAGTTGGCGAAGATAATGCCGTAGGGCAGCGTGTCGTCACTAGAGTTGACGGCTTGCAGAGAGGGCGACCAGAGGAAGACGAAGATGTACATGGAGGCCTCGAGACAGCAGGACGCAACCACGAGGGCGAGGATGCGTTTGTCTGTGCGTCGGCAGCTTTCGTGTGAGCTATTTCCCCTGTGTCCTATAAAATCGGAAGCTGTGTAAGAGTCATACCGTTGAAAACCACGGAGAGTGCGTTTCTTGATACGGCACTCCCGGGGGTGCTTGATCTCGAACCATAATTCTCGTTCTACCACTCCCCATTAGCCCACTGAAACCCCCACCACCATCTTGAGGTATACGGGGAGGGGGGGGGGGGGAGAGATTGTCAAACCCACCCAAGTCACCAATATCGCCACAAACGCAATCCCCAGCAACACACACGACGCCATAAACGGGCTCTCCCTCGTCCCCGTCACGCCCACCAGCCACTCACTCGACACGCCCGCCGCAATAGCCACAATCGAGTTCGCCGCCGTCAGCACGCCAAACAAATGGCTGAGCGCACCCCCGCGGGAAAGCCCCCGCGAATGGAACTCTGTCACCATCCATGACTCGAAGCAGCTGTACAGGATGGAAGTCGACACACCGCCGAGCAGCCTGCCGCCATACAGCACCGGCTTGGACCGGTACAGCGTGGAGAGGCAGGAGAGCGTGTAGGCAACGCAGTACGTGAGGCATATCAGCCGTCTCCCTAGTCTAGCACATCATGATTATCTCCTTGTGAGTTGAAATGTCAACTCCCCCCCCCCCCCCTCAATCCGCGCACCAGATTATAAAAACCGACCTATCCGCCAAGCTGCCGACGAAATACGCGCTCACGGCACCGGACAGGAACCCCGCCGTAAAGAAGCTGGCCACCGTCTCCTCCGAGAATCCCATCTGCTCGCGGTATAAAGCATAGATGTGTGCCCCCTTCGCAATATCCCCAGAATCGTTAGTTTGAGTGTTTTCAACGACGGAAGCTCAGCAATCCAGACCTGAAGCCAGTCCGCGCCCATCGTCAGGGCGTAGACCACGAGATAAAGTCGTGTGAATTTCGATGTCGCATCCTTCAACGTGGCCACTACTCCAGCGTCAGAAGTGCCCACTGCAATTCGGTCTGAATCCTTGACGTCTTTCGAGCGCTGGTGGAAAAAGAGAAAGCTACACGCCACCCCTAGCGTTATGAAGTTGGTCGTATAAAATATCATTGGGGGTTTCTCTCTAAACAATTGTTTATAAAGAAGTATGCAAGTATGGTGGATGAAAAAGTCAAGTAACACTACAATAATATATGCGACTGGATAAACTTAGCTCAAACCCTTGTAACGACATGTACTGATATGCAGTACTGCACAAATATAAAGTACCAGGGGGTCCCAGAGGAACCAAAAGAATTTCAGTAGGGCATTCATAAGAATAATTAATCTAGATAGCAACCTAAACAGAAGACTCTTGTATACTTGTTCTGCCATCATGCATGCGAGTATTTTGTTGTGGGCAAAGAGCAATTTTTCAATGACATTACTGCAGTACAAAGCGCTAGACACGATAGATTCTGTTGACCCTCATGTAATTCACCGAATGCACATGAAAAGAAAAAAAAAAAAAAAACTTGAAAGAGAAAAAATGAATAAACCACGCTTTTTTGTACATGGAGGATCACAAACAACGCCTGGCATTTCTAAATCCAAACATGATATGCGTTTACAACTCGTCGTGACCGCTTGGTTCTTCATCACCAGCACCACCAGCACCAGCATACACTGTTAGAGAGAAAAAAAACGTTAGTTAACCAATTCCGCAAATAAATATAGTTTTGGAGACAGAATATAACTTACTCTTGCTAGTGATGGGGTAGGCGACCTGGCTGAGCTTCTCCTTCTGCTCGTCAAAGTCCTCTGTGGTGGCAGTGGCAGCGTTCTCCTCAAGCCACTCAGTGGTTTCCTTAACGGCGGACAAAAGAGTCTCCTTGTCGTCCTCGTCAAGCTTGCCACCGAGACCCTCCTCATCGTTGACCTGGTTCTTCAAAGAGAAAGCGTAGTTCTCAAGACCATTCCTGGCCTCAATTCTCTCTCTGTTGGCCTTGTCCTCGTCGGCGAATTTCTCGGCCTCGGCAACCATACGGTCAATCTCTTCTTGGCTCAATCGACCACGCTCGTTGGTAATGGTGATGCTCTCAGCCTTTCCAGTGGCCTTGTCAGAAGCTGAAACCTTCAGGATACCATTGGCATCGAGTTCGAAAGAGACCTCGATCTGAGGAACACCACGGGGAGCTGGGGGAATGCCAGTGAGCTCGAACTTGCCCAAAAGGTTGTTATCCTTGGTCATAGAACGTTCGCCCTCAAAGACCTGGATCAAGACTACGGGCTGGTTATCGGCAGCAGTGGAGAAGATCTGAGACTTGCGAGTAGGGATAATAGTGTTGCGAGTGATGAGCTTGGTCATGACACCACCGGTGGTTTCGATACCAAGAGTCAATGGGTTAACATCCATAAGAACGAGCTCCTCGGTTCCCTCCTCTCCAGACAAGACACCTCCCTGAACAGCGGCACCATAGGCAACGGCCTCATCAGGGTTGATACCCTTGGAGGCTTGCTTTCCAAAGTACTCCTCCAAGAGGGCCTGAACTTTGGGAATACGGGTAGATCCACCAACAAGGACGATGTCGTCAACTTCACCCTTC